CCATGGAAATAGTTAAATTTAGACTATGAGATTCAAAACGAAAATGAAGCTTTGACGTTCATGTATGATAATTTATTTTCTGTAAACTTTACAAGGAAACAAAGGCTGAAAATGTGTTTAAGCTTAACGTTAAAGAGAAGACGAGGAACAAAGCTCAAGCAATTCTTTAGGGAAAAAAGGAAAGTGACATGCAAAGGAAGACATATGTAAGGGAAGATAGACACAAGGGAAGTAAATCAAGACCTTTGATGTGGTGCTTTTAGTTTGGTGAAGCTCCTCCTTATCCAAGCACATTTGTCATTATTCAAATGACAACTGATGTCATACTGCATGTCACCCCAGAACTGTCCCCTCACTGTAACTGTGCACATCGGCAGCATATTGGTATGTTGTATAATTTAATGATACAGCATAATTCAATGTGCCCCGCTTTTCATTTTGCCTGACATATCCACACTGAAGGTAATCCATCACAAATCTAACAAGTCTAAATTCCTCAACACATATCCAAACTATTGAACTTAACCTGCAACAGAAAACTTAACATCTGACACAATGTTATTAAAACTTTAGCCAAATAGCAATGTAGTCTGAGTACACTCAAAAGTAATGAAAATTAACTTTTGCTTTTTACATCTGATTAACAAACAAAACATGTCTTTCTTCTCCTGTTGATCTATAGATATATCAATCCCTATTCATAACAATAACAATATACACATATATATCTATATTGAGAGATTATACAAAACCACAAAGAATAAATGTCACTGTGCAACAAACAGCTAGAATTTAAGCTCATAAGCAAGAAGGAAATTTAACAGAGTCTAGAGATGCTTTTAAGAGTAACAATTATAGAACTGTGTAGTACATTTTTAAGGACCACTGAAAATTACATTTCTGCATTCTGTTTAAATATGAAATTGCAAGACACTAGGAATTTCTCTTAAGGCATTTCTAATAGCAGAAGAATATGGAAAGGTTTACATTATTTTAAAAAATACATATATTATATTGCTTTTATATGTAAAAGAAAAGTTACACAAGTATACACTGGCTTCTTTGTAAGAGTTCTTCACACTAGAAACAAAGTCTATGCAGGCACATTAATTCTTTTAAATATGAGAAATTTGGCCTGCCATGACATTTCAATAAAGTTGAGCTCTCTTCTTTTTTCAGTAAATTCCTTCTATATTGTGTTAGTATTGTAATACCCAGATTTTGTGGACAGATGATGTTTATTTTGATAACAGTTATGAAGATCCAAAAGGCAAGCAGAAGCCTAAGTGTTGTGGTTGCAATGTTTGGCAGTAAACTTCCTTTTTTGATTCAAAACATGAATTTTCCAAGAACAACAGATCAACCAAACCTAAAAAGAATTTAGTGTGACAGAAGTGCAGCACATAATCAGGTCTATGACTGAATAACAGATCTAAAACTTACAATTTTTTTCCTTTTGTCTTGTTCTGTGGGAGGTTCCTCATCTTCTGTAGCTTTGGGCTCTTCAAAATGAGACATTAACATGCAGCTAAAAATGGGAACAAGAAGAGTTTTAATATACATTATCATTAAAAATTATTTTAAAACACTTTTAAAAACACAGGACAGATAGAGGAGTTTGCTGAAAGTCAGGCAATCTGATCACAAGTAATTTTTTCCTGAGAACAGTGAATCTAAGGAAGCCTGGAATGCATGTTGTCTGTCACCTCCACCCATGTAACAATCTCAGTTATCCTTCATGTTTTAGCTTAAGTTGTGGGTTTAAATACATTTGTGCACATAGAAAACAGACTGCATGGCTTTAAAAAAAATACAGAAAACCTACTGTTCTTTAAAAAAAATTTCCACTCCTTTTCAAGAAAATGCCGTATACAAGCACTCTGTATATACAAAGTCATAGTGGCTAAACATATACAAAGATTGCAAAGATGTCTCATGGTATCCATGTTTTTCTGTGAGATCTTTGTCATTATTCAAAAGGACCTGAAACTAGTAAGGACAGTGCTATCCTACAATAAAATCTGCAAGACACTGAACAAAGGTTTTAAACTCATTTTTTACGTGCCTCAAGTGGCAGGTACCCATATGTAAAATTAACAGCCATATTTTAACTTGTATTTTTGAAGTATAAAACCAGAAAATATGAAAAAAATTCAATTTAAAAGCCAGAGATTTTCCTGCCTGCTGAAATTATTTGAATGGGCTTAATAAAGACATTAATGAAAGCTATCCAATAGAAAGTATGCCTTTCATTAACTTTATATGCTCTAAGCTGAAACATTAGACAAATATTCCACCATTTTATCAAATCTTTTCCTATAATTTCTGCCTTAAACCCCAAAACTATTTAAAAAACAATCAGGTGATGACAACTTGCCACCATGTATCAGGTATGATTTAAGACACAAAGGACACATAATTCACATATTACAAAGAACCAAGACAGATGCAGATTATTGTTCATTTTCAGTCCTGCATTACTGTGCATTTTTAATTACTGCATTCCACTAGCATGTGAAATACTCCATCAACTAAGATGAAGAACCCATTTTAATGTTACTAACATGAAAAAAGGTTGTGATCTTATGTGTTTTTATATGACTTTTTATGAAAATGTTCAGACTTATTCTGTTTACATATTTAGTTCTATTAACATGTACTTAGAGCTGCATGAAACACTTGCTAAACAGCATGACAAGCAGGGTCAAATACTAACACAGAAGCCATTTTTAATAAAGGGATTAGTTATTTTGCATATCTCCTCTGCTTACAAAGGGCTGCTTGCATCTCAGTTTATTAAAGGAAAAGGAGAAAAAACTGTCAATGTCAACATACAAGACTAAATTAACTTTTTCAGATCTTCATAAATTTTAGGTACCACAGAATCCCAAACACAAGGAGAGGAGAGAATAGAAGAAGAGATGGTGGCACAATTAGGAAAAATCTAAGTGTTGGTGAAACAAGTCTAGAGCAATGGAATGCTCCCCATTCCAGAAAATTTGAGCTTTGTAAATTTCTCTCATAATTATCCCAACAATGTGAAATATGAACTCTATGAAACCCAGCTAAGTGCAATCGCTTTGTAATATAAGACAGTGTAAACATTTCCATAGCCTGATTAAAATCCAATATAAATCTAAAAACTCACAAGGCTTTTATTGCTTTCAAAATCTCACTGCTCTAACTACAGCAGTGTCTTTAAAATTCCAGTTTAAATGTATTCATTTGAAGAGGTTAAGTCACTTCAGCCATTGCCATCGTTTAACCTTTACAATCTTCCCTCTACATGTTTACCCCACTCTTCACCCTTCAGTGGCTAAAGTTCTATAGCATTTCAGCTTTGATCTCCCCTTGTTAAACATGCACATAATTTTATTTCCTGCACTGCAATATTTAGCTAATATGATAATCAGTGGACATCACATTATCTTTGTTCTGAACCAGATCGGGCTTAAGCCATTATTCTTTAGTTTGGAGAGCCACAACAGGGCACATGATTTCAGATGACTGCTCTCACTTTACTTCTAAATGATGCCAAGATATATTAGGCAAAAGTCAAAATCTTTCAAACAGCTCTTTCAGAAACTGCCAACATAAATATGTCCTTCGTTCAGTGTGACTACATTTTATGAAGTAAAAACAATGCCCAGACTTCGGAAAAGTAGTGACAAATTCTACAAGCCATCAGGTTTAAAATATGAAATTAACTAGGATAAAGTTGAGAACTATTTTCAATAAGTACCAGCAAAGCAACATGCTTAGAAATAAAAGGGCTCTGAAAGGTTTTCTCTAATAGTAAACAAAACACAGTGCCAGACATTGTGCATATTCCCAGACTTTGGACTTACATCTTCTTTACTAAGAGTTTGGTGCAAGTACTTTGGCAAGAAATTCTTAGACATAGTTCAGGCTCAGTGTGAGTGTGGACTGCTCTGAACACACAGTTGTGTGCATACCATCAGTTTTAAGTGGAGAAGAACTAAATAATTGCATTCTGGCTGTTCTGTGCCACCTAGTTTCAGTGGCAGAGAACATCCCCTTAAGCAGTAAATTAATTAGCTCAGATAGAGTCTGTTCAATCACCATGTAATGATCTGAAAGAAAATGCTTGATTCTTTCCATCAGAGCATCAGTAAATTCTGTTATTACAACTCTCAATTCTAAAAGTAAGTAATCATTACAGAGATAAAAATGACATTAAGATGTCTGCCCAAAAAATATCTTACTATTCATTAGGTTGGCATTTTTCCCCCCAGCTTTGATGGGCTCCAACCAGCAACCAGGGAACCATCAGAAGATGAATGAGTGTGGTGCTGGGTGGCAGAACACCACCAGGACACCTCCATCATCCACATTCCGACCACAAGCAAGCTCCAACTCCTAGCCTGGGAAACTCTTGAGATATATTCTGTAGCAGTTACATGTGTTACATGGAACAAATGAAGAACTCTTCTTGTGGGATATGCTTCTAAGTTCTCCAGGCTGTGAAATACTGTACACTAGGTAAACTCACATGAAGTTCATGTCACATTCAAATAAACTCTGAACTACCTCTAAGCAAGGGTGGTCCCTATCAATACACAAGATTGTTATATTGAAATTTTAGATGCAAAAGTCAAATAAGCAAAAAGTAAATCTAAGTATATGAATGTTTTAAAACATCATTTAGTAGATAACTTAATGAACAATACAAAATTATACTATCATTTTAAGACCTCTGTCCCCATTGCAAATATTTTAAGACCAAAAGCTCCGTGTCTTCCTAAAACACTCACTCTTGAGAAAATAGATCTCTAACAAACATGTCTTAACTGCCTACAGAATTTTCAAATGAAAATACTTCATATAAAACAGTACTGCTACTGTTAAACCCTGTTTAAATTAGATTTTCCGCTTACTCTTTGTATGTTCCTGTTTCAGAATCTTCAGTCATAACATCATTCAGTCCTTCCACTGAAATGTTGATGATACCACAAAACTTATCTTGGACAACACTGTAAAAGAACAAAATTTACTTTGGATAACATTGGAAAAGAACAGGAAAGTGACTTAGCTAAAGGAACTGCACAGGAAATTTGCTCAATTGTGGAATACATTTATTGAGAGGTATTTTCCTTGCTTACTGCTTAGCTGAGCATGCTATCAAGTAACTAATTCAGTATATTGTTTAATTACAAAAAGGCTTCAAAATATACAAGAAACATTATTTTTAAATATAATAGAACTTAGTGTGCCACTGAAAACCTAAAAGTAATTGCAAATGAACAGAAGAAAATACACATTAGCAATATCCTTCACATTAGGAGTCAAGAAACTGAGTGGGAAGGGCATGCTCCTGCCAGCAGGGAAGAGAGTAGTGGCTTCTACTCCCAAAACATTTAGGACTTTTCTACCATCACTCTTCAGTACATAAACCTACACAACTCCTTGAGCAATGGCTGCTTGTAAAGAAGGTACACTCTCCTACTTACCTGTATTTCTTCACTGTCCAGCTGACTGGGGAGTCAGCTCCCCAGAGTGAGTGGAAAAACCCTGCAACCAGTTCTGCAAGAAAGTCACTTTCCTGACTGTACACAGAAAGGACAATAGGATTTATCTGTTTAAACACAGACAGCTTCTGCCATTTTGACACATAAAGCTATTTAAGACTAATGCAAAAGGCTGGTAGATATCACTTGGGAGTTAAAAGACACGAGTACCTTTACTCAGCATGACCTGAGGGCTTGACTAGACAGGTCCACAATGCCCAAAATGACACTGAACACATTTACATGTGCCCCTGCCTTGAGAAAGGATGTGCTGCTAGGGAAAGGGCGTAGCAACAAGATCTCCCGTTGACGGACATAGTAGGGGACACCAGCTCCTCGTTAATGGAGAGCAGCCAGCTGCTGCTTCTGCTCCATTTCCTGCTACTGTGGATCTAACGCCAGAGACATGCTGCTGTAGAACATGGGTTCTCAGACTCCTACTCCATGAACTGTGAAAGCATGATGACAAAATGCAAGTGAAAACCTTGCAGCATGACGACAAACTGCAAGGGAAAAGATGTTCATCTCAGGAATACCTCCAGCTACATGCAGCAAAGAAAGAGAAAAGGCCAAACTGGTGATCATAAACTACAACCCTTTTCCTGGGACTTGCCACTGACTGATGCACCTTATTGCTCCCTGTTTGGAATTTCAGGCTTAATTCTCCCAAAAAGATGCTGCTGATGCTGCTCCCTAAGAGGCAGAGGCAGAAGCAGACACATTGCTGACACAAGCAGACACATATTTATTTATAGGCATTGAACATGAACATATATTATACTTCGTAGTTGATAATTGTTTTAACACAGACAAATCTATTTCCTAATATTCTTTCATTTCCTTTTCTTATTTGGGGTGAAAACTGAAGACATGGATGAACTGTAGCCCCTTACACAACAGCAATTGCTTTTGAAAAATTTCTTATCGGACACACAACAACATTGTATACATATGACAAAGAGTTAAATAACAATAGATACCTTAGAAAAAATGCTTACCACATTAGAATACTAAGCATAGAAAGTATTTCTTTTATGTTTGTTTTGATACAACTGTAATCTCATTCATGATCCTTTCTTTCAAAGGGATTAGTTTTTGTTCCCTTTTTAAAATTCAGCTACTCTTGTATGCCAGAATCTGAAGTGTATTTTGCATCATCAGTCTTGAAACTCTTGAATTCCACAAGATGAAAACTGACATGATTTCTACTGCCTGATTGCCAGTTATGTATTTTAAAAGACATTTAGTCCTTTGCCAACAGGCTTCCCCATCACATTCAGAACAGCAAAATGTTACATGTTGTGAGACTGAATCTGTTAAGTTCTGCAGACAGCAAGCAAACAACCTACTGACCTCACAGCACAGCTGAGAAAGTCAAGAGTGCCTCAGTCACCTGCACAATGAGCCCTCTGAGACAGAGCAGGTTTCTTCACCAAGTCAAAGGTCCTGCCTAGCACACCTCCATTAAGACTCTTTTGCCTCATCCTTGTTTTTGAAACACATCTCTAAGAATATGCCTAAACCAGTTAATATTTTCCAACATGAGTAAGGCTAGTATTCCCCAACAGGCTGCCCTCAGATTCACATCAATAGTAGATAGGAAGCATTCAATGGAGAAAAATGTGAACACTTCGAGCCCTGGAGAAGTTAACACTATTCTATTAAAAAAATACAGGATGCTGTCCAATATCTGTATTATTTCTTCCTTCCAAGTTGCACGAATCCCAGAATGGACTGGGTTGAAAGTGAGGTCACCTAGTTCTGACTCTTGCTGCCATAGGCAGGTCACCTTCCAATGGACCAGGCTGCTCAAAGCCCCATCCAACCTGGCCTCAAACACTTTCAGGGAGGGAGCATCCACAGCTTCTCTGGGCAACTCAGTGCTTCATTACCCTCACAGTAAGGAATTTCTCCCTAAAATCTAATCAAAACCTACTCTCACTTTTAAGTCATTCCCCCTTGTCCTATCACTACAGTTTCTGATGAACAGTCCCTCTCTGGCTTCCTTGCAGGCCCTTTCAGAGACTGGAAGTTTGAAGTCAGGTCTCCACACGACATTCTCTTCTCCAGGCTGAACAACCACAACTTTCTCAGCCTGTCTTCATAGGAGAGCGTTCCACTCCTCTCATCAACCTCGTGGTCCCTGGACTTGCTCCTGGAGTATCAGGTCCTTCTTACATTAAGGCCCAGAGCAGGATGCAGCACTCCAGCCATGGTCTCATCAGCACAGAGCAGCAAAAATATTGCTCTTGATAGTTACCACAAAAGCTCATAAGGAAATCACTGATTTCTTGGAAAGAATATTCCTACTTTAAGACATAAATGAGAAATAGTACTTCACTTCTTTAGTGTAAGATTCATGAGAGTGTTTTTAGGTTTTTTTAAGGAAAAAAAAGAACGTAGAGCACCTTTCAAAATGTAATTTGCTTTCAGCTTTCAGTAAATACAATTCCTTTTCTTTGCTTTTTTCTCCCCTTTAAATGTGACATACAGTTTCTTTCTACCAAAGACCCGCTGGAATATTTACCAAGTATGGAGCCATTAAACACTGTGACTATTCCTAGAACACAAGACACATGATGGTGAAAAATAAAGATACTACAGACTCACGCTTTAAAAAAAGAAACCCCAAAGTTCAGTGGCAATATAAAATGCATCAGGCCTTATTTTCATAGATAAGAAAGCATGCCATGTCACTCAAAGTAATACCTTTTCAAAGAGACTAAAATTAGCCTACTTATTTAAAGAAATAATTAGAAAATTCATGAGTGGATACAAAGAAGACAAATGCTGCATTTAGATGAATTTTCAGAATAGAGCAGTTAATATGTTTCATACTAAAATCTTAAACCTGGAGGAAGGCACCATTTAAGCAGTTCCCCCATTGAATTGCATACAATCCAGATTAGCAATGCAACAAACAAAACCATCAGGCTACAACTGGTTTTATATCTACCCAGTCTTCCTAAATTATTGGCACAAAAAATGTTTTGGTATGCAGCAAAAGTAAAAGGCTCACAATTGGGACTAAAACACTTCATAATCCAGTTTCAAAGATATAAGCACTACTTTTTTTTTTTTTTTATTACAGAACGGATATTTTATGCTGCCTGTTAATAAAATTCACCTCACCAACAGAAAACAAATTTAGCATTCAGGGCAGCTTCCATAAGAACAATCTCAAAACTTCAAAATAGAAGTTTGCATAAGTTTTAAAATAAAAGAATAAAGGCTTTGCAAAGGACAGAACAGATCCCATCTATTCTGAAAATAAAAAACATACTTTGCTTGGTTTTTTCATTCTGTTTTAATTTCTAATGCACACGGCTCTATGTACAATTTATTATCCTGAGGTTTTATGTGAAAATTCCTAATTTTTACTTCACTTACATAGCAAACTACTGGAGACAAAAGTCTGTCATCATGTTAAAACATGTCCTGACATATTTTTAGTGGTGCTTAAATAAAATGGATCCCATATCTACTTTGCATGTCCCTCAGAGAATGAGAAAAAAATCTGTATGAGAAAAGACTTTTTCAGAGATAAAAGAAGAGAAAACATTTTCTGCTTTTCTACATTCACCAGGATGATGCAAACACCAAGAAGAGTTTGATTTCATATCTTTACTAGTTTACATATTGAGCAAGTTAAATTCTTTTTTCTCATCTCTTTAGCCAAGGAAAGAGGTGGAGTGGGACAAGCAGAGATTACTCGGCACATACTGTAAGTGACGTAAATGATTATTACACACACACACACACCCACCCTTAGGAGCAGCACACTTCTAGGGAGCTCCTAAAGCAGTGAAGTAGCAGCTAAGACAGTACTGCCAGGGGAGTCCTATGGTTGACCATAAACCTGATCTTCATGAAGCACCACTTAGCTTCACGAGGGCAGATTTCACTAAGGCTTCTAATAATTCCCTAGTGATTTTAATTGACATATGAACCACATGTGAAAATTAAAGAGTTGGCTTCCTCAAGTGAACATTTAAATACAAAAGATACTGGCTGCTAAAGAAAGGCCTTTCCCTCACAACTGCATAATAAATCTCTCAGGGCCTTGTCAGTCTAATCCCTGTGTCAGCAAGCTGGTAATTCGAGGATATCTCCACTCCAAAGGATGGCTTTCAGTGGCTCTAACTCTCTGCTGCACAAACAGCTGTGACACCAGTTTCCTTTCATGTTCCCCCACTACAGATGGTGAGAGGCATACCTGGCAAACAACTTCCACAGCAGCTTGTCAGTGAAAAAGATGCACCTACAGAGAGAAGCTCTCATGCCTTTCTGTAAAGAGCAGCTGTGGAAATTAGAGCCTAAAATAACAGAGCTGCTCTATGCCAGATTTGAGAATTAGGTTTATTCAGTTTTTAACCTTTGTGAATTACCAAAACTCCTCTGTAAAAAAGGCATAGCAGCATTTCTAGCAAGAGAAACTTAACTAGTTTCTACTGCATTTGAAGTCCACTATTTCTGAAGGCGTTCACATAAAATTAAAAATTTAAAAATATAGCACATAAAATTGCAGAATCTACTACGTGCAATCATTGATTGTGCAGTTGTTACTAAGTGAAAACAAAATTAATATTTATCACAACAAATTATGTAGGAGAGACAGAAGGTAACAAAAATGAGTTGAAGAGAAAGAGACTGCAGTGGATGAGCCTTTGGAAAAAGGTGCATAAATTACAGCCAGAGTTTTCCCTTCCTAAAAGCATTTGTCCATTATATTTAACATCTGATCCTAAGTTAGAAAATAATTTTAAAAAATAGTTTCTACTCAAGCAATACTAAACAGTTTAAGCTTTTGTCCAAGAAGCTGAATTGTGTGTTCCCTAGAAGTATTTGATCTATGATACAATAAATTACACACAAATACAATATTATTTCATTACACTAATAACAAACAATAATGAAGTCATACTTGCACTTTCACACCCACTCAGTGCAGTCAAGATTTCTGTATGTCCTGGTAGTAGAAAATAGATTTTTTTTCCCCTGCTGGAAAAGGACTGCAGATGGACAAACAGAATGACTGGGATCTGCACAGCCCAGAGTTACAGCAGCAGGAAAGAGAGGAGAGAGAACAAGAATGCTGAGGGCAGCTCTGGCTCAGCTGGAGAATGCAACAGGCTCCAGGCTGGAGCCTGGAACAGCAATATGCTTCTACACAATTTAAATCAACACCACAGAGGAAAGTCTATAAAATCATTGTTCCCCACTTTTCCTTGAGGAAAATGGTCTAGCTGTAAACTGTGTAACTTATAAACGTGGCCAAAATCTCTAGGGCACAGCCTGTACAAGAAAAACAGCATCTACAAAAATAAGTAGATTTTACAACATAGGACTATTTAGCACATAGTTTTATGACATTTAATTCCAGAAAAAAAAATTTGAATTATTGAATTAACAGAAAAACAAAAATTGCAGACATTCAGGTTGAAAATAAAGCTACAGCATACTAGACATGCCCTGACAACAACATAACACTAACATTTGAAATAGAAATAAAAAGTTATATGCAAACTATAAAAGAAAATATCCCTATTTTGAAGATGAAGCTTTAACTAAGAATACATATCTTGACCTGACACCTTCAAATAAAAACCAATATGTAAATGTTTTCAGCCATTAATTTAGCATTATATACTTACAGTGTAGTGTATTTCTTCAATTTGTACCTCTTATCTAGCTAAAAAGTCCCTAGGAAATATTACTACATAGATGACATAGATGATGATCTGTTATTGACAATAATTAACCAGCTCTATTACTTTAGACATAATAAATTTGGTCATCACACTTTGGTAAAATTCAACAGCATTTTGGTTTTCCTAACTCCAATTTAGGGTATTTCATAAAACCATATAGATACACACTAATAAAAATCACTTTAATATATACATTATACAGACTGAACACACAACTTTGTATATTACAATATGCTATAGATAGAATTTGTATAGTTTGAAATTTTTCTCTTACTCAAGAATTTGAACATGCTAACTGTAAATGTGGAGGGTTTTCCCCTGTGCTTTATTTAATAGAGGAAGAGTATAAACTCTATTACAATAAACACATGAAACACTTTTTTCTGATTCCCCAAGATTTCTTGGCTTCGTGATCCTACTAAGAACTGATGTTTTGCTTGCTGCACAATAGCTATGGAATTTCTATAGGAACTTACATCATTAAGTATGGCAAAATAAATTAAACTGTACTTTATACTACATGTATACTTGAGCATAAGTGAAAAACTACTACAAACAGGGACCTAGGTTAATAAACTTATCCATGTTAGACTGAAATGACATATAATGAAATAATCAATAAATTTCAAAACATTCAGTAAGCAAATGTGGATGCAGAACCCAAATTGTGCCATTTTCCACAGTTCTATTAAGCAGTTGATTTTAATTGGTAGAGGTATTTGTACAGAATTGAGCTCTTGATTTCTTGGCCTTTCATATCACAGTTAACACCAAATCAAATGAGATAAATTACAATGATGAATGTTCGAACAAGATGACCTGTGCCTGACTTTCTGATACTGTTCGCTTGAGCAGCCTTATTTGGTCCAGTTCGGAATGTTCCACTGATTTCCGAGTTAGAGACTGCACTGAGTCAGTTATGTTGTATCTGCCAGGCTGATAAAAGCCATAATATTCTATACTCTTTTCCCCTGAGTTTTCCAGCACCTTTAGTTTTTGCCTAAACTGAATAATTTTACAGGTTAAGAACAGGATAACAGCACAAGCCAGAATGAAAAAGGCTAGTAAAATATCAAAAGCTTGATTCAGCTTTTCAATCTGTTTTGTACAAATCTGGGTTGTTTTTACTGATACAGGAGAAGGATCTGTTGTAAACAACCATTCTTCTTCTACATTTCCATTAGTAGGTATAATTTTTGCTGGAATTTGCACTGGTAACGTCGATAACACTGTAGCTGCCTGTGATGGCACTTCAACAGCATGTTCCTGATAAGGCAATGGGGTAGAAGATGTAGCTGCAGTTCCCTCCCAGAAACCAATATACTTAGTTTCTGCAGTGACAAATTGCTCCAATGTGTTGTGCCTGCTCCCTTTATGCCAGGCCATCAGCAGAGTGGTAGCGCTGTGACGCACCACGACAGATCCCAGACTTGGGGCAGAGCCCAGGCTGGCAGTGGGGCCAATGCAGTTTGAAAACCAAGCCCATTTCATATAATGCAAAGGTCTACCACGCATACTCTGAGGATGCTGACAGTGGATTTTTGCAGAAACAGAAGATGATGCTAGCCAATTAAGTAATGCAAGCATTTTGCAGCTGCAGTTCCAAGGATTAGCGTATACCTGCAGATGAGTTAGAGATACTAAAGGCTTGAGGACTTCAGGTTGTAACTCTGTGATATTATTAAATGCTAAATTGAGTACTTTAAGTGACCGCCCCATTTTTTCAAAGGTACCATTGCCAATACTGCCTATTCTATTTCTGTCTAGCTGTAGATACATTAAATTGGTCAATAAGGTAAAAGTGCCGGAATTTATCATTTCTAAATTATTATAACTTAAGACTAGCTGGCTAAGGTTGTTTAATCCAAAAAATCCATTTACAGCAACACATTTTAGCTTGACATTTTTCAAAGACAGATATTTAAGCTTATTAAGTCCCTTAAATGCAAAAGACTGAATTGATCCAATGGGATTGTGAGACAAAGAAAGTCTTTCAAGATTTTTGAGCCTTCCAATGGCATTTGATGGCACAAGTGGTAAGTTGTTACCTTCAAGAAACAAATATGTAAGATTTTCAAGATGATGAAATGCTGCATCTGATATCCGTGAAATCTTATTATTTGCTAGGTTTAGTGTTTGGAGACTTATCATTCCCCAGAAAGTCCCACTTCCAAGGACACTGAGACGATTTCTTTGAAGTGTTAAATATCTAACAGAAAGAAGATCACTAAATAATCCTCTGGGTAGAAAAGCTATTTGGTTATTCTGAAGATATAAACAATGAAGATTGGAAAGGCCTTCAAAGATTCCTGGATCCAGGCGTTTAATATGATTGCTATTTAGATGCAAGTAGCACAGTTTGGGGAGTTCCACAAAAGCTTTTGGGTGCACATACAAAATACTGGAATTATCCATGTGGAGTGCAGCAAGCTTCAGAAAGCCTCTTAGATCATTTGGAGTGACATGTGATATATTATTCCCACTGAGGTAAACAAGAATTGTTGTTTTAGGAAGGTTCCAAGGGATGCGCGAAAGCCCTGCATTACGACAGCTAACTTGTCTCCCTGTGCAGAGCTGACAAGCAGATGGACAGCCAAAAGCCTCCTTCTGGAGCAGCAACCAAAGAAAACAATTAAATATATACAGGAATGCTCCTGGGCAGGATGAAGAACTTTGCAGAACACACATATCCCTGTCTTTGGCCTTCTTAGTCCTCTCTGACTTCACTATTAGAGATAAAAAGAAGTATATAAATATTATTAATTCAAATATATTTATTATATATATTAATAATTATTTGGATCTATGTGTACAGTCTTAAAAATATTAGCATTACTCTCAAAATTGGTATTTGACATATTATTCTTTCATGCCAAAGGAGTTTAGAACTCCAACTTACTAACTGGACTTCACTGCAAAGATTTTTCAAAGTAAATGCATAATTACATAAATATACTGGTAACTTAGCCAGAAAATATTCAATTGGCTGTAGCGTATCTAAGCTGCCAAAATAACAGCTTCTATTAATTTAAAAATACTATACATTCTCTACTTCTTATAGCTAACCATCACTAAGAAATGTTTCAAAAGCATTCAAGTAAAAATGCCAACTGTAAATAAGTTACATTTTACTGGCAGATCACTTACAATTTGAATTTTACTTTTATAAAGCTGAGTCACATTTAAAAGAAATAGAAGCATTTCCTTACCCCAAATCTGAAGTTCATTATTTCCGTTATTTTGCTGTTTGCAATCCGCTAGATTATGTTATAAAATGACCAACTACACTCATCTGGAAAACCTTGGTAAAGGCAGTATTGCTGTGTACTACAACTCTGACATTTTTGCCCCAGGGTTTGCAACAGTTTGCTCAGGAAACTAGGAAAGAAGTGCCTGAAGTCAGGTTGCCATGGATACAGGAAACCCTGGGACAGGAAGCCATTTTATCTGTGCTTCAAAAGTATTGTTAGAAAGGAAATCTCAATGATTTGTTTCTAGAAAACCAAGAACTATCTTAGTCTGTAACTGCTGGGTTTTGTTGTTTGGGGATTTTTTTTTGTTCTTTTTCTGTTTTGCCTTTTTTTTTAAGTCCACTGACTTAACTTAAGATAATACTCTTTTAAGCTCTCCTTAAGTCTAACTTTCAGAATAAAGCACAACTATTTGTAACAGCACTATTGCATTACCTGTAACTCCCTTATCTTTCAGCCAGAACCTGAAAAGCTTTATTAAATTTGTAGCAACACTTACACTGTTCCCTGTATACAGAACCAAACTGCTGCCACATGCACAGACATTCCAGTGGCCTGGACAACAGGGAAAAGAAACACTCTGAAGGGAAGAGCCCAGTGTCTCCTGCCCTCTGACAAGGCACAATCTGCCAGCAATCCCATGGAAACCTATGAAATCCCAGGATATGAGACTCACATGATGTGGCACTAAGATGCTATGTACTTGTATTTCTGACCTGACCCAAGCACTTTGTAAAGTCTCACTTTAGGCCACCCTTTTAAAACCAAATTTATCCACAGAGGATTATGAGATGGTTTCCGGTTCTGAAAGCCACACCTTTCATGCACAGCTTTCATTTCCTGCAGTGTCCCCTGTGCAGAAAAAGACTACATGAGCTATAAACATCCCTCTGCTTAAGGACCAGAGATTACACCCTCAGTTTATCCATCACAGTCAAGAAACACTTGCAAAGCTCAGTCACATCAGTCATCAAAGGGGGAAAGGGGAGATTAAGCCTACAAATAGCAACATAACTAAAACTCCATTATTTTACTGCAACGAGACCTTCTGCTCAGCAAAAGAAAGATGACAAAGCCCATCAGTAGCCACAGCCAAAAAAGAGGCACAGCAGCAGGATAATCAAGTCCCTTCCGCTACAGTGATCTCACACAGGAAGCCTGAGTTCACATAAGGGGTGAAATGTAACCCAAATGTCTTTGTCTATATAATCCAATCTGAAATGCAGGACACAGATGAGAAAGGGAAGCAGAATAGACAAAGACATGCTTTTGAAGAAGCTTTCTTCCAAATACATGGTCTAAAATAAGAAATAAAATAAGTAAAATTGGTCCATGGGCCATTTTAGACAAAGCCTGTATCAGTTACAACCCAGAATTAGAACTACATTTGTTTCTTTTTTTCTGAGACCAATAGATCAATAAGAAAACTAATTCTTCCTTAGATTTGAATATTTATTTTCACACATTTTTTCACAGTATTTAACATAATTGTTGACATAATGAGAAAACTCAAATAAAATGTCATGTCATTTACTTAAAGGGAAAACACCATATAGTCCACAGGAACAATGGTGAAGCACCCTGGATGTGGGGGACAGAACAGTAAGCGTAAAGGAAAAGGATTATCAATAGAGTCAGATGAGGGGAAAATGAGAGACAGGCAAAGAATGCAAAGTGACTTCAAACAGGAAATTATGTTCTACCTAGACTTCACTGCCTATAGTCCCTTTATATTGAAATCTATATGTATAAAAAAAACCCAGACAAAAAAAAATTATTCTTCCAAGATCTGCTATATGAAACAACCCTTTATAGCTACAAAAAGTAAGTAAAATTTTAAAAAAGGTTTTTAAAGGCAAATGTTCATAGAGCTCTCTTTTTGAAAATGTCAGAAGCAACGCATTTTGAAAAACTAAAGCAATTAATGAAGCTCTACGGTATATCGTGAAAATTTAGAGCAGTGGCCAGATTAAAGAAAGTTGATGACCAGTAACTAATTGGCTAAATGTCTCTGTGGTCTTGCACTGAAAGTACCTTATGAATATTCACAAAACTTTTGCTTGAACCCTAGCTCCACTGTGGTTCTGACCACACTAAGGACTTTTCTGATAGTTGAATCCCATGCCCAAAACAGGGGAAAAAAGTCTTAATCCAGGTCATGGCTCCTTCCATTCTGCACTATGAAATCTAGAGAAGTCCTGCTTTATACTTTGTCAATACTGCAGCCTGCACTGCCTGCAGATCTGATTGCAATGTATATTAGAGTTATTATTTCATTAATACTACATATCATTAAAGTATCTGAAAGCAGTATCTGTTAAGAACAAGATGCAAAATTATGTGCCACATAACTGATACCATTTTGGGGAAAACCATAAAAAAGGCTAGATGGGACACATACCTAACTTGGATGAGCATTAGTCAAAGAGGCTTATACTTAGAAATAAAATCCATTACTTTTTGAAAACTGTACAAAAAAACCCAGGAAACACTAACAAGCTTAGGCTGCTCTCATATTTCATTCACTGCAAATTTTCTTCTGCAGAGAGAGCATTACTAGGTTTTTACCTGAATACAGCTTCACATGGTAACAGAAAATTATTTTTCAACCCACAAGTGAATTTCATCTTAATATACTAATATTGAAAGCTATTAGCTTTTTAACATTAAAATCTAGTTCAACTATGACTCCTTGTAAATACAAGCATGAAGCCTGAGTAACAGCAATTTGTCAAACTGGGCATAAAATGACAGGTCAAAGTAACTGAAAGAACATACAAGCACTTCACCCATGTTACATTAATGCCAATATAATGAATATTAGGTGGCACAAAGTAGTCATCCAAATCCCACTTACATACAACAGAAAACATGCAAGAAGTTCAAAACCAGGGTCAAAAGTGAATTTTTGAGAAGGGATTTCATTCTTATAATTACTACAAAATTCTGTTAAAGCCCACAAACGAGGACAAATAATTTTAGCACTGTAATTATTCTTTTAAGCTTATTTGAGTGAAACTATTTATTGCTGTCCCATTATGTATTTAGCAACCATCTGCTGTTGCAGGGCTTCCTTCCTTATACTTTTATTCTCCACAAGTAGGCTATTGTACAGCTTTATTTTTTCAAATCCCTACTTCCTTCTGACCACATCATCTCTAGATATGACCCCAAATCAAAGAAATTCAGAAACTAAACTACTGCTTAGGTAGCACAGACATCAACATTTAGTTAACATCCAGTAGGCAGGTGAACTGTTGACACCTTATTAACTTATCAGGCCCCGAAACACTTTTCTGTTTTTCTCATTATCTAGTTTACCAAAACATTTCTGATAGTTTCAAATATTGCAGATTCCTTCTAGGATTTGATGCTTCTGTTTCAATAAGATTGCTGACTTGCTGCTGCATTTACTGAAAATTTCTCTCTTCCACAGCATAAAAACAACAAAATTATTTTTCCCATTGAGGATATGAAAATAAGTTTCCATTCCATAAACCTAATTTGACCTTAGACTCCAGTAAAATAATATGACAGAAAGCTCTCATGAAACTAAAAGCTTACTTAGAGAAAGCAGTTTATTCTCTTTATTCAGAAATTTAAATCTTCTATGGAGCAACCACCAAGTTTGTGAACAAAATAGTAATATAAAAAAGGGTGGCCATGAACGTAACACACAGATGTGATATACTGATAACAACACTACAGCTTTAGCCTTTACTTTTCACTGCAATATTTAGCAATTCTGCTCAAACTATAAAAGCATTAATGTACTCTATATGAATGCAGTTCAAACCAAAAGGTTCAAAGAACTCAAATTAATTTCCCAAATTTCAACTTCTAGAAATTTAATCAAAACTAAATTCAATTCCAAAACCACACTCTGCCTGCTAGTTTAGGAGACAGGATGGACATACACTTGGCATTAACAACTGATAGCTCCAAATATTCAACAGAGAAAATATCAACAGTTCCTAACAACTACTACAGAGAATACTCACACACAAAATATAATAGCTATTTCTTAAAAATACAAGCTTCCTTTATACTTGGGCATTTTTTTAAATATCAAAACCTGATGTTTTGTTTTAAACACTCACTTTCTCATTAATTATTTGAATATGAAACATAATTTTTCAAGACAGTACTTATTTGCAGAAGGTCCTGTAGTGACATGGGTTGTGGTGTTTATCACTTTTGGTATCTCATCATAGTAGTCTGGCACTGTTAAAGAAAGTCACTGAAAAATCTCAGCTACTCTCTGGCAGTCTCAAATTTCACAGAGTATAGCACAGACAGATAAGCAGATATACCAAAATGGCTCCAACACACACAGGTGCAAAAACAGCTGTAAATCTATGTTTTGGGTTTGGGACATTTTTTTTTTACTTTTGTTACAATCTTGTGATATTTACACATTTTTAGTAATATGCTATACTTCAGTCACTACTTATTCAGTATCTAATTTGCAAACATGTAAACCACACATTGCAAAGAGTTTGAAGGAAGCTAGTTAGTCTGTTATCTTTTGCTTTTATATCATTAAAATCTTAAATTTTAGGGTAATTCTAATTAGAATAGTTTTAGGAAAGACTTCTGAAATATTTTATATAGGCCATAAACAAAATCAAGATAGCAGCAGCAACCAAACCCTTATGACTGTAGGTTATTTTTTTTGCAGCAGTTTAGATGCAATTAATGACAATTTCTTGCTATCACTTGGTACATTTTTCCTTGAAATCAAGGCTTAAGCGTCCTAGGGGAAAAGATAATATGCTCCTGACCAGTCCATACTAGCTATCAAGTGTAGGAGAAAAATTAATGGAGACTGTGAACAAGGGAAGTTTAATGACTGCATCATTTTGCCAATGCCATAACGTAACATGCAATTAAAGAAATTGGCAGTGCTCTGTGTAACCTTCTGAATTATGCAGACTCTGATAGTCAGACTAAGACTAAAGCCACATTTTTCACTCTTATCATTAAAATTGCACCGTTACCTGTCAGGCAAGCTAAATAAATCCACGGCCAAACACTGATGACAACTGCAAAATCATATTTTAAAGAGCTCCTTTAAATGCTAATAATCTATTAGAGGCGTGGGTGAGCATTCCTTTAACTAGAGGGATTAAAAAAATGGAGGGGAAGATAAAATAGCATCAGAGTATCATCCCTATAAAGAAAGGAGGATGTACAAGTAATTATGTAAGAAATTCTGACTTTATAAATGAGGACATAACTATCATGAGGACAGCATGACATTTTATTAGGCACTTTCTTACCATTTAGCTAACATTACATATAGACAACTTTTTGAGAAGAAAATTAAAATTTCTAAGTAATTTTAACAAATGACAGAGGCAAAACTCTATAATAATCTAATGAAGATTTATAATTGCATACTGTAAATGCTTACACTCACAAAATGCCAATTACCTAACTGGCAGAACTCATACTGGCTGACATATCAGACTTGATACACAATGAGAAAAAGCAGACATTCACTTACAAATTACTAGAAACCTGGGGAACCTCTTAACCCCTTCCCCACAATACATAAACATACTTAACTCAAAGGGGTAAAATGAAAACTACTTGTGTACCAGAAACCAAAATGAAGAAAGATAAATTAAAATACTTCATATTTTAAGCTCAGTAAAGTCTCCTCTACTTCAGAATGGTACCACTCTACACAGGTAGTTCCACCAAAAATAAGCCTATCCTCAAGGACCACAATTTGTGGCCTGTTTTGGAAAGCACTGAGTAAAAGTAAACATGGCAATCTCCCATTGCCAAGAGTGACACACATGGAAATAACATTCACTTGCAGAAGGGGAGTGCTTAGCTTTCAACATGGTGTCAAATGCTGCCTGTGGGTACAGTCAGGCACCACCCCAAACAAAGCTGATCATTGACACTATAATCCTCCCAAAATCTGTTTCCATTTTCTTAGTAGAGAAGAAATGTTCCTATCACTCTCTAGCATTTTTCAGTGTTGCATTCCACTAAAATACACACAACTGTAGGAATAAAAAAGATAACTACTTTGCTAAATAAATCATTAAAAGCTTTCAATATCTCCAGAGAAGGACATTCCAAAACACTGTAACATTGACATTATACTGCAGTAAGCAAACTAATTATTTCCAGATAGATATGGGTAGGAGAAGAGGCCATAGTACTATTTTAGCCACTCTGGCATCAGGAATTACAAGGATGACAAAGGATACTGAAGAGCTCAAAACGCAGAACCCTAGATAGTGGTGGAGGCCCACACATTTTCTACAACAAATAAGAGGTAGAATGCTGCCACTGACCATATTCACTAGTCATTACTTTAGGGACTAAGGGCACATCTAATAAAACTCAACTCAGCCTGGAAGAGTACTCTTGCAGCTGTATGTTCATGAACAAGCCATTAAGGTTGTAGACAAGCACAAATGACTGATAACAGTAGGAAAATCACAACATTTGTGAATTTACTCATCCAGGTTGCTGTCACACTCTAGCTTAAATACAAATTTCCTCCAAAAAACTTCAAGTCTTTGCATGTTTTTCAAAAAGCCATTCCCATTAGAGCTACTGTGTGTTTATCCACACTTTTCTCATGTACTTAACATGGAGCTACTCACTCCACAAGTGCATTCTTCCTGCCTGAATGTTATTGGTCCCCACTGTTATACACAGCAGTTTAAAGACAGAAGTCTTCTGCCTACTTTATGAAATAAGATTTTTTTAATAAATTAATGAAAATGCACATGGATGGATGCGTGATAAACAGGCAGTAAGAATACAAAATACAGAAAATATTGCCAATGCATGTACTTGTCAAACATCAAAAAACAAGCTAACATTAACTGGATACCAAAAGCAGACAATTATATAACATTTAATTTGGGCAAAGCCCTAAGTAATACCAGGAAATTACTGTTCCGTGAAAAGGTGCTGCAACACTAATCAGGAAAGTAGCAGTTATTGTTCTTTTTTTAATGTGAATTTCTAACCACTAACGCAATGTGCAGCTGTGAGAAGATAAACAGGATGCTAGATTGAAGGACAAGCACACGATTAAAATGCAGCACTACTGTTGATACCAAAAGCATGCCATTACGTCTATCTCTGTATGGTACTGCCTAGATGAGAAAATTAGTGTGGCTAACAATTAGTCAATTCATAATCTGCTTAGTCAAACTAGTCAGCCCAAGAGCCACTGTGAACAACTGCTCTGCACTGAATCCTGTCTTATCTGCTCTAAAATCCTTCACTCATGACACTGTCAAAGGTGTTGTTTTTCGAAACAGAAAATTGTGTCAAACTGTTTTAAATTAATAATGCTGGAGTCTACCTTTTACATTCCCCTAAAATGCAGAAAGTCTAGAGTTCCACATATTTGTAATTATAAAACTGATCACAAACTAGAGAAACAATTAAAATCCATGAACTAATACTACACGGAAAATAAAAATGGTTACTGTTTAAAACTTTCCCCAACATTTTATGCATAAAACAACTCTGAGGGAAGAATGAGAATACATGTAATCTTCATTTTCCCCCCACTGTTATTGTCTACTACCTCCCTCTCCTCTCTAAAATAAACCAGTGCTTCAGCTATAGGCTAGAGAAAACAACTGACAAAAGGAAAGAAATTCTCAGAAAGTGTTAGACACAGCACAGATGCCTGTTTTCCTTTCAGCAGAACCTTGAAAATCTGAGCTTGCTACTGGTACCAATCCTGGCACCCACTGAGCAGCAAGCTGAGGGAAGAATCTCACTCTCACTTTGGCATTCTCAAGACCCCCTATCAGCCATCCACATAAGATAGAATTCTGTTCTGCCTCTGCAGCTGAGAAATCCTGAACTAACCTTGGATATCTAAAGCAAAATCTAGTCAGGCTAGTGAAGCATTCCAACAGGAAAAATTACTACAACACATTAATCATTGAAAACATATTAATCCAAACGTTGTTTAAATACCGTATTCCATTTAAAACTTTTTTTTTTGTTTCAACTGTGCAAATGGAGTTGCGCAAGAAGCCTGAAGAGACAGGATGCAGCAAGTATCTGTAGTATAATCCCTGAGATACAGCAAAACCAGAGTGACTCACATTGTTCTAGTAAAAGAAGAATCAATTGACAGAATCCATTTCACACACTCAGTCTGAAGCTAAGTTTGGCAGTCTATCAATTGTATAAGTGAAATTTTCATAGCCTTGACATAAATACATCCACTAAAGAGAGATTTTTATTTGAGAAGCAGCTTTCTTAAATTATATGGGTAACTGAAAAATAAAGCTGTCATTAGAGAAGGTTTTATTAGGTTACAGACTGCCAGAAATAATTGGCTTTTGCAGCAGGAAATCTGGAACAGCTGAACATAGTTCAAAATAATATGGTTATCTAAAGGAATTTATTTTTTTCCTTCCTCTAACAGAAACTTCACATGAAGACCGATGTAGTTCAGCACGTTACATTTTAGCTAACATCTTCTTAAAAATATTTCAAATATACTTATAAACAACATAATACTGTTACATTTACTGGGAAAAAACCTTTCAAAGCAGCTGCTTGGTTCACCTTTAGCTAGATGGTTATCCTGACTACCCATCTGATCAAAAAAAAGGAAAAATTTCTATGCATATAAAAAGCAATGAAGCCTGTAAACTACACATAAGTGTTCCCTGATTTTTTTTTTAGATAGTGACTACATAGACTACAGCTTTGACAGATACTACATATTCTACAGATACTAACGTAGCTTTTAGGATTTGGGAGCAACATCTAAATTCTCGACAGACAATACAACAGACAAGAATGGTCAGGAAACCCAACAGACTAAATGTAAACTCATTCAGTCTCGTCTTCCTGAATGTCAAACGCATAAAAATAATCTGAAGGTAACTATGGACTGAACTCTCAGCTAAATGTGTTATACATGACTTCTAGTATTGACAACTTAGAAGTCAGTGTATTCAGCATTTTCATTTAAAACTTTCATTTTCTATGTATGTCCAGGAATGACAATGGCTGCTGAAAGGATAACAGGAAAATCTCCTTGCTATAAGTGTTTCACAGAAACAACACAGTCTTCCATAGCAACTCTTTCTTACACTTAATGTCATAAAGGAGAAAACCAGAATGAAAGTTCAGATCACCTATAACAGGAAAGAAAATTGAACACTGCTCCCTGGAAGGGACACCAAAATAGTAACATGTCAACTAAAGCAACTACTTAATCACAGATGAGAGAAGCAGATAGTTCTAAGTTAATATGAGAACCAACAATAAAATTTGCAGTGCTGGTTCCTCACTTTACCTAAATGACATTCCCTATGAAATGGAAGAAAGGTTACTGTAATGCTTTTGAAGCCAAATAAGAAGTTAATATAATATAAGTAGCATGGAATTTCTATCTTCATAAAATTTCTCTTGGTGGAGAACAACAAGCAAATAAAACTATTTGTATTGGAATATTTAGCTGCAGAATTGTGAAATACTTTAAAAACAATTCCAAGGGTCTTCAAAGTATTCTTATTTAATATATTGTACATTTGCTTACCTATTCAATGATGGCAGAAGAGAAAGCAATGCCAAAGCAGAAAGTTTTCTTCTTTCTGGCTGAGTGATGTTATCCATCCGATCAACCCATATTTCAATCATGTTACCAAGAATTTGGTCCAACTGCATTGGGAAACACAAGGTTCTTTTTCAATTATAAGTACATCAGTGTGTTTAGAAAAGAACTTATTTTAATTTTTCTAGCAAATGAATACATTATTTAGTCTTGGAAAGACACTACACAATTGTATACCTGGCAGAAGTAATAAGCAACATGTACTTTTTATATTTTCTGTGACAATGCTTCTAGGCCCTGAACCCTACATACCATTAGCTGTAACCTAGATGCTTGAAATGTATTTCATTTATGGAGAGGGAACTAATTCAGGACAGCAAATTATTCCCTAACAGTCTCATAGAAACAAAGCACATGGACTTATTCTGTTTTATCTACACAGCGACCAATTAAAAAAAAAAAAAAAAAGACTGGTAATTATATGTTTGAAAACTGTATTATACCCCAGAAAAGCAAATTTCACTGAAAGACATAATAGAACACCTGTGGCAAAAGACCCTCAGTGAAACTGAATCACACTGAATTTGATACTCTAGAAATGCTGAGGAGAATCATTAGATCATCCTCCAGGCTGCAAGATCCAACAAGGAAAGAAATTCTCCCCCTACAATTGCATGTGAACTAAGGGGGTTTACATGGCTAATTGTGGGATAAAGCCAGAAGAGAATTTAGGGGCTCTAAAAACATCTCATTAAAATTTTTAAAGTAATTATGGGAACATGTAAGTTGTTACATGGTGTTCAGGGAAAGGAGAGAAGGAGGGAGAAGAGCTCCTTTTCAAGATTAACTGGGCAGGAACAAGCATGGATAATAAGAGGGAAAAGTTTAGTCAGATCAAAAGAAGGCAAGAATACTCTATGTAATACAGCTGAAATACCAAGACACAAAAAACCCGAAAGGACAAAAAAGGACAATAAACCTTACCTCCTGACCCAATTCACATGCCATCTGGCTCAAAAGTAATGAAAAAAACCTTGCATTTTGTAGTAGAACTCTACCCATGATCCCCAGATAAGTAGACATCACCACTGGGTACCTCTGAAATGAAAATAAACCAAAACAAAAGGTGCTTAGTGTAAGTAAAAAAAATATTTGACACACACAGCAGCAGTACCTGGAAAATACTTGTATGCATCCCTTATGTCTTTCACGAAATTTTTAATTATAAATTGCAATTTAAGAGCCTCTAGTAACAGAAGACTGAGTGAGCAATCTTTACCAGTTTTCAGTTCTTACAATATGTAAACTAAAGCAATTTCAAAGTCAATTTCATCCAAACAGACTCATCCCTCAACTTGCAGGGTGATTTTACTTTAAATTTCAAAACCTGTATCTTAAGGAACTAACAGTTTATTGTACTGTTAAAACACCACTTTGGAAGTTGATGCTGGTTCCAAGTTACTGCTTACAATTTCAGTAAAATTAAGAACACTTAGTATCTCTGAAGTTTCTACTTTTTTCAGATAGAAGCCATAATACATTTGCCAAAAACTAATCTGCAGGTGTCTCAAAATTAACTGGATAGAGTAATAAGTTCACTAGTTTATTATCTTTGGTTATTTTAAAAGAAGCTATAGATTTTTTCATATTAAATTCAGCACATAACAATATAACTGTATTTTGTGAAATAGCCTACCTGAAAAACAAAATGCCAACATTTACCTGAAAATTCTAACCCAGAGTAATATATTTTGAATGGGGTACAATGAATTTATTAGTCATAAATCAGAAGACATTGTAAAAATCCACTCTCTATCCTTGTGCTGTGAACAGCAAAAAGTACTTTGCTATATAGCATTACTTGCTTAAATTTGGAAATCTTATCCAGCTCAGATACTGGAGCTACTTCTTGATATTTGAAGGTCTTCAACTGAGAAAAAAGCAAAGATTTTGATCAAAAAAGTAAAAAAACTTTAAGAATTCCACCCACTGATTCCTGCTAGAAACTGAAAGGTTCAACACAGTTAAAGCCTATTTGATTTTACTCATTTGTTGTCTACAAAGAGAGAACATGGAGATGATGTTATGACATGTAAGCCAGCAAAATCCTAAAGACTATCTCACACAACTCATTCAGCTCTTCATATTAGATATATCAATTAGGAAAAGAAGGTCAAGTTGATCTTCTCCGGGTTCAGTTTGTTTTTCTCTCATCCAGGTACAATTAAAAAGGAATACTATGTGTCTTAAAAAAAAAAAACCCACACAATAAAAAACTCCATCACTGACTAAGGGTTACACTAGGCCTAATGTTATAACTCTTAAAAATGTTAATAGTGAAGAAACAGTGGAACAGCAGAATTAAATTTCTGCTATTTTATTAAAACAAACACTGCATGACAAAACAAGTGCTGGACAGGTTGTTTTTTCTTGTGCTACTGTGTTACCTTTAATGATTTTTAAACTAGATATGAAAAATCTATCTAATGCTCTTAAAACAAGAGAAAATACAACATCAATATGAAAAAGCTGGAGATAATGGAAGGTACTTTCATTTTCCAAATGAAAAGTAGAGAGTAGTTAAAGGAACTCTTACCTCCCCTTCTATAATCCCCCTGAATACTGATGGCAGAAGGGGTTGAAACATTTGAGGACCCAACACAGGGTTGACTTTTAGAACATTTTCTACAACCTTAAGAACAAAAGCAAAAACAAGATCATTAGCAAGGTACATTCATAAACCTTAACCAAAGCTTTAAACCCATGTGAACTGGAGTACACATATAAAGTGCTCAGAGGATGCTTACCATTAAATACCAGCAAATCCCAGATTGCTGAAACTATATTCTAGTAAAATATTCTGCAAACCTGATTTGCATAAATACACCTGGTTAAAGCTGACAGGCCAATGAAACCCACCTAGCCAGGCACCTCACAAGCCTCCCCATGTCCCAGGCAAAGTTGATGAGGTGGTTTGGAAAAAGGGACCTTGTTATGGTTCCAGGAAAGCAGAGGATTGAGGGGGTTGGTAGGGTGAAGTACCAGCAGTTCTGAGCGTATTTCCATAGCTGTCATGTCATTTTTTGAGAACCTGCTGATTAGGACCTATCAGCTCCTTGCAGGTGTGCTCTCAGAGGTGCTATTCTGGGCACCTTGCTCTGGTTCCCAATGTTTAAAATCTTTACCCTTTGTTTTTCAGATCCTTTTCCCCTCATGTGCTCTTCCCTGAAGTAATTTGTTTTCCTGCCTTCTTCCATTTTTCTTTGCCCAGATGTTTGTGCTCCACCCTTGTACCAAGAGAGATGGGAAGAGCCTGTGAGAATAATGGGCTGAGAGCTCCTCACTCCTGCTTCCAGGTAGAGAAAGTGATGCCACATGCATGAACACACTGATGTGTTTTCAAGCACATAAAGGTATCATAAATGTACCCCACCTAAACACTCTTAGTCTCCATTTACTTCCACCTCAGAGGAATTTCAACAAGGACCAATTATTCTGTGCTCTTGACCAAATTGTCCTAAATATTTTTTTCTCCGTTTTGAACCTTGTTGCCAATAGCTTCATTTAATACTCTATTTCTTGCACTGAGAAAAGTGTTAAGCAGTTGACCTTTCTCAATGCCTCTCAATTTGGTAGACCTTCAATATACAGAGGTATAAAAAAGGCTTATTATAAACAGAGGTAAACATAACTTCTTCCCTACTCTTTCTGGGTACTGGAAGTTTTGGCCATCTCCCTTGTTCCTTGCACAGTCTTTTTAAACCCTTTATTGTCTGTGTCAAGATAATTATAAAATCAAGTCACATCAAGACTCAGCAATCTTGCAACAAATTGTCTTATCAGTCCAAATTAGTATTTTTCAACCTTATTAATTTAATTACTGTTCTAATATCCATTTACAATCCACGAAAGCTGTTTGAATGAAACTATTTCAGAGAACACCCCCGGGTGTTTCTGTTTCCAATGCTTATCTAGATTTTGGGGTTTTTTTGTTTCACAAGTCAGCACAGTGAAGTCTGACAAAACTTTTGCTTTTTCTAAAAATATTTACAAGGATGATAGCTCAGTTATCCCTCTGGAATCAAGAGGGCATTGCTAGGAAAGTGTTCCAAGTATACTACACAAATCTTGCAGCAAGGCCACACTGGGACCCAAGTGAATAAATTATTCTGTACTAGCAGTATAATTCCATTTTAGAAATTTGATTAAAAGCTGCTGCATAAAACATTTGCTCAACTACAGACTTTAAATAATATCACTGAATAGACTGAAACTGACATTTTAAATT